CTCTGAGCCGAGCCGGTCAGCTCCGGCAGCAGCTCCGACTGTAGCGGCGTCTCGGGCTGACTCTGAGTCGGAGGCGTCTGCCGGAGGTCAGTGAGAAACATCTGAATCAACACACACAGCCATTTACACCTGAAACATCCAGAAGCTTATTTACTGTAACAGTGTAAACAGGGCAGGTGAGGGCGTGGCCCTATGGAGGACCAAAAGTGTCCACAAAGTAAACCAACATCTATAAATGACTGAATGTGTCATTAAATGCATCAAAAAGACATTAATGATTAAAGTTGTGATGACAATGACGACAGGTGTGACGACAGGTGTGACGACAGGTGTAAGAGGGCGAGCTGAATGCAGAGGGAGAAGGTCCTGGCCCGAAACAACATGACAATATCTGAAGGATCTCCAGGCTGACAGCTCTGTGGAGGACTTCATCGGTGAGACGTGCAGAGTGCAGGAGAGCGCTCAGCTCTCAGTGAACCACGGCACATCTGGAAACACCAGCTCCGTCTGGAGCAAAGCAAAACTCTGTGACCCGTTTAAACTTTGAATGATGACGATAAGATCCCCGTTACAATAACCTGACTTCATGCAGGAGTCTGACAGCCCAAATTTTTTTTGCTTACAAAAAGAGCTCAGTATCAGTCAGCCCTGTGCAGCGCCCTCTTCAGGTCACCCCACAGATTTCATCTTCAGCTTTCTAGCAGACGCCCGGGAGCCCGATGGTGCCACCGCCGTGCTTTGCCATGGCCGTGGCATTCGTTCAGTGATGCACGGTGTTGTTTCTGTTTCTGCAGCTTTCAGAAATACGGCCAAAAAGTTCAACCTTGGCCTCATCAGACCACAGCGACACATTTGCCCACATTTTTTAAGAGTGCGCTGAAAAGTTTCTCTCCGTAAGAGAAACAGCTCAGAGCTCAGACGTGGGAACATCTGGCCTCTCAGAACGGCTTTCTTCTTGTCTTTTTGTTTTAGCCTGGCTGATTAGAAACCAGCCTTCAGAGGTTATAGGTCACAATCAAAGTGCAAAAAATATTTAGCTTGGCCTAATTTGTTTTTACTTCACACAAACCTGCAGCAGCAGAGCTGCAGAACCAGTTTATGCTTCATGGGTCTTATGGAAGCACGAGAAGAAGCTGTCATGTGCGTCGATACTTTGGCCAAAAGTAAAACACTTTTACTTACACTGATGTTCGACATGAAGTTCGATTACAAACTAAAGCGGGTCGAGGCGTGTTTCTAAAGGGGGCGACGAGTATTTATTTGCCCCCTAAAGGGTTCATGCAGAGTGGCTGCAGCTCAGGAGGTAGAGCAGGAAGGTTGGTGGCTGGTCCCCCTCGTCTGCCCCCCAAGTTGCTCTGCGGTGTATGGATGTGTGTGACTGTTAGTAGGCGCTTGTGTGAATGGGTATAAAGCGCTCTGAGTGCTGCAGGGCAGCAGAGAAGTGATATATAAGAGTGAGTGAGGACAAACACAGATCCTTCTCTCATTTTCAGGGGACTGAGAGGTTAAATAAGGAGGCAGTGCCCCGGGTGAGAGGTCAGCAGGATCAAAGTGGAGACAAGGGGATCCACACAACAACTCCCCCTGACCCCTCCGTGACCTCCCCACCTGTAGCAAAGCCCAACGGCCCCCACCCGCCCTCAAAAAGCCCAAACCACGCAGCAGCCGCGGGAATTTAGCACTCACCTGAAAGAGGAAATTACTCCAGGAGGTGTCCATCCTGAAGGAGACCCAGCTGGGGACCGAAGAGGAGGAGGAGGAGGTGGAGGAGAAGGAGGAGGGGGAGGTAGAAAAGCTCCGGGAGCTGCTGTGAAAACAAAACGCGAGGCCTGTATGGCAGCTCCCCTCCACCGACAGGGGAAATTGGCGGAGGAAATGAGTCCCAAAGCCCTGACACTTCTTAGAGAAGCGTCCGAGAGGCAGGAGTTAATATGGCAGCTAAACAGTCACTGAGCAGATGCTTCTGTAAATGCGACAGAATGGTTGGTCTCATGCGTACTTGCTTTAATGGTGCGGTTTAATTTAATTTGCTTATGTCGACTGGAATAAAAATCTGCATGCAAAGTATTTTAATGGCGAAGCCGAGCAGTCGAGACGTGCTAATCATAGCAGCAGCTGTTCGGGACTCGTTTTATAGCTCCGACAAGGCCGCAGCGTCGGCTTCCGAGCCTCGGAGTTGCGTAGGGCGCGTCCCCCGGCTAGAGCGCTCCCGGTCGGCCGCGGTCCGTGGCTCCGCCTCGGTGTCTGAATCGACAGGATGACATCTTTCTGTTTTTTTCAAACCCGCTCCCTCGCGCTCCCTCTCGCCCTCCCTCCCTTCGCTCTTTCTTCCTTTTCTTTTTTTATCTCTTCTTCACCCCCTCTGTCCCTCTCTGCTTTAAAGGGAAAGTATTTGGCGTGTGCACCCTCCTCGCGGACCCCGTCTCGGCTCGTCTCGTGCCGCGCCGTCCCTCTCGCCCCCGCCACTTCTCGGTAGGCCGACAGATAATCAAATCCGACATTTATGGGATCAGCTCGGCCGTTAACTCCGCCACTTCGCTTAAAGGAACCCGAAAACTGGCGCTGCGCTGCGGGGAAGAGGTGCCAGGCGGTGATCCGAGCCGCGTTCGCGCCAAACTCTCCGGTAAAATGGTGTCGGGTTCGGCTAAAATGAGCCTTTATCCCCGAGCATCTTAAAGGTAACGATGCGCGCAAGTGCAACAGCTGGATGTAACCTCAAAACACATGACGTCCGTCCGTGAACGGGCCACACCGCGCGGCCCGCCAGACTCCATTCAAAAGACTCTAAATTCGCGTCTCCGGCGGACTTACTGCACGATTGAGTGCTGACAGTAACACAGCCACGACACGGAGGACATCCCCACGAATCCGTCCGACTTTAAATGAGCACAGCTGGATTTTATTATTTTATTGTTCAGCCATTGTAGTGCAGTTATCCTGAGCTTCTGTAACGCTAAATGCCATTTTATGCTTTCTTCACACTTATTAAACTAGTTTTATTTTGATTTACTTCATTCATTGAGGTATTTTATTTACTTTTTAAAATTTGTTTACCTTGTTTATAAAATTGTCACTTCCATTTTATTTAGTTATACTTGTGCTGACTGAACTTCTTTTATTTGTTCCTCTTGTCGTTGGCTGGTGTAACAGGAATGTCCCGCTGTTGTAATAAATAACGTTGATGTGATTTTCTCTCAAAGTGAGGAACGTGTCAGCACTAATATTCAGATGAAAACAGCTGTTTTATTTTTAATGTGAGACTGAATGGAAGGTGAAGGCGGCCCTCGGGTCTCCAGGCTGAAATACAGAACAACAATCACAGGCAGCTGCACTTCTGCAGACGTTTTAAAGAGAAGCCCAGCTGTCCCGTGGCCCTGCAGGTCCAGGTGGAGTGACCAGGTGCCCCTCTTTAAGTGGCTGCTCAGCAGTTTTATTACCTGTCCACCTGCAGGGACACTCCCACATTTTGACCACTTCTGGAATATAAAAGAAAAACGATGATCTGTGGACGAATCACAGCTGAAGTCAACGTTCAGCTTCTGGACTTTTAAGAAACTGGTTTTATATAAATGGCAGTGGTTATATGATCAAGCTGCAGGCTGGTTACTTCCCTCAGCTCTCTTCGGCCCACACCGGGTCTGTGTTTGTGTCTCACCATGAATCCAGATGTGTTCAGGCATCCACAGCTGTGCATCAGCGTGCAGATGTTCTCGTGATCACGTCCCCACAGCGTCAGTATGAACATGCAGTATTATGACAGCATGAATTCATGTTAAAATAAACCCAGTCTGCTCATTTCATGCTCGGCTCCTTTATTTCACACTTTTAGATTGTTGAGCTGTTCCCCGTTTAAGTCGTTCCAGGTTGTGTTAAACTCTTTGGCTTCAGTAGAACAAGAAATTACCAAAAAATAAAGATGTGATGTGATATGGAACAGGAAGAGATAAGTGAAGGTCAAAGTGCAGAGGACAGAACAGCAGCTGTGGAAGCTCTGCACTCGTCTTCAAAGCTTTTCTTAAATAAACCTTCAGCTTCTGTGAAACGCTGAAAAGCAGAACCGATCAACTCGACAGCTCGTGGAGTCCAAACTGCCTCGAAGGAGAAAAGTTTAAATACAAATCTGAATTTTTTTATTGAACACAACGTTTTTCTTTTGCAGCTTTTTTTTATTTTTTGCAGTAAATTCAAACCAAGCAAACAAAACCAGCATCAAATATTTAAATTACAACATTATTTCCTTTTAAATAGAACATCAAACTTTGCTTTCAGGTCGAGATATACATTTCATATTAATACATTCTAGCAAATACAGTATGCGGGTTTCAGCACGCTCTCTGATTGGCTCCGTCAAAGCGACACACACAGGTAACACTTGGTGCTCCTCAGGTGAGGTAAACGTACAGTTTCTGACAGAGGAGGCGCTTCCTCTCCTAGCACTAAAATAAAACGAGCCCAGCTACTGCTCAGCCTCCGACTAAACAGCCAAGCATCAGCAGGAACAGGAAGTGAGGCGCAGGAACAGAACGAAAGGTGAGAGGAATATTTAAGCTTTTGGTCGTGTCATCATTTCAGGGACGGTTTCGTCACAAATCAAAAACAAATAAAAAAATATCTAAATAAGGAATAAAAAGTGGATTTTCAGAGAGTGGAATAAGCATTAGAATTTAGATTTTACCATTAACCAGCCTGACGGTCACGGTGGAGGCGACTTGGGACGGTTAACGGGCGCTACACATCGCCAGCTGCTCCTCATTCATTTAAACACACCAGTCATGACATCATCTACACGCACACCTGCACAGGTGCGTCCGGTCAGACCGAACGCCCCGCCTCCTCTCAGCTTCACACTGAGCCTCCCATCAATCATCTGTCAATTAATCACAATCACTGAGCCGACGACATCGACCTGACAACAGGCAGCGATCAGACAGCAGCATAATTACAACAATAATACTAAAAATAACAGCAATAATAGTAATAATTACAATAATCTGTGTTTTCATTTTTTTAACATTGTTAATAGTTTGGTCTGTAAAATGGGAAAATAATAATGATAATAATAATAATAATAACAACAACAACAATTTGGAACGTTGATATTCAGATACGGAGGACTAAGAATGCCCCCCCCCCAAAAAAAGGTTGAGTTTTTGTTTACTTTTGTAATAATTAGCCATTTTATTTGCTTCTTTATTTACATATTTGTCCTCTCAGATCGCGCCTCATTTATTTCGGCCGGACTTTAGTCACTCCTCTTATTTCTGTATTTACTTTTCTTTCTAGATTTAAATATTGATGGATGTATAAACACATTAGCAGATAACAGCAACATTATTTTTCCTGCCTACAGTCATTATTAACATTACTTCTTATTCTTTTAGTGATTTCTAAATTCATTTTTGACTTTTGGTCCTCCGTATGTGTCTGTTCAAACTTAAATATTTAATTTAAAAATTTGTTGTTGTTTTTTTAAAGCGTTCAGATGTTTTTTTTAATTATTGCTATGATGTAAAACTGAAAGTGTGGCAGTGAGAATGAGCAACATTTGTTTAGGTGTAATCGATAAATCTGATACGAATCGTCGGCTCGTTTCAGCTTTAACGGAAAAGTAAAGAACACCTGCGTTAGCTCTCGCTGTCGTCACCGACGGACACGCCTCTGACGTTAGCGTAATAAAACAGGTGAGCGGTAAACGGGGATGTAACCGTGCGTGTCGTCCTTTACGTTTGCATTATGAGCTTATGTTGTGATTTAAAGGCTGCGCCGTGGATTTGGAATATTTTTCTCCATATTTGGTCAGAATCCGTGTCGGTCTGACAAACTTTCCCTTTAAGAAAACAACAATACGGGAAACCGCGACGGATCTGCTGATGCTGTCGCAGCTCTCGCCGCCTCCCCGTCACCTCTTACTTCATCTTCGAGGCCTTCTCCCGCTCGGCGGCATCAATGGCGGCCATGTTCTTGGAGGCGGTGATGAGGTGCAGGGCGCTGATGCCGGACTTGAGCAGGCAGATGATCCCGCAGAGCCCCTGCAGCCAGTAGAGCCAGCCTGTGGAGAAATCCAGCGACTCGAGTTTAACATCAGACGATGAGTTTCCTGTTCAGCACCTGAACACGTTAACGTTCCCAGCTCTGGATTTTAACAGCAGCACTCACAGCTTTAATTAACCAAGAACGAGAACTAGACTAACACTCGCGGAGAACAACCACCATGACAGTTATCAACACTTTCATCAACAAATAAAAAATAAGATGAAAATGTTTTGGAAAGATGAGATCCAATCAGAACT